TGGGCAAAGCGCTGACGGCGGTGGAGACGGAGAGGGTTTGGAACGGTGAACGGGGCAGTGTAGGCGAAGCGCTGAAAACGGTGTGGGTGGTGGGGTGGCGGTGTCGCTAACTTTTGAAGCCTGTTACTTCTTCTTGACGGGAAGACAAGCAAAAACCGACCCTTCGGGATTTCACTGGCGCCGCCCCAGCAGGGGTCGGCGGATAACGAAATCTCATCTAAATCAAATCTATATCTATGTCTAGAATAACAATATCTATATCTATATCCCTATCCATATCTATCGATAAGCAGACAGCAGATTTTGTAGCTACCTTGCAGAGCAAACCGTTCCTGAGTATGAACGTGGGAGTATACTGCCGCGGCATTCGAAGCTTTCCACATCGCAATTCCGAGCTCGCAGCAGTTCCCGCGTAGCTTCAATCCGAACGTGGGTGCTGCATCCGATCCGGTCCTGAGTCCATGTTTCCGTTAAGGAACTTTAATGGGTTTTAGAAGCTTTGTTATGATGCCGACCCCGAGCATTGTGACACGAAGGACTAGCACGCATGGCCGAGAAGATGGCATGTGGCCTGGGTATTCCCACCGGATCTGCATGCCGTGGCTACAGTCTCGATGAGGCTCGATGGCCAGGAATAGGCATGGAGCTCCTAGTGAGGAGTGCTATGCGTGCGCCCTTGTGGTAGTACACCAGGGCCCCTATCCTTGCAGCGTCGGTGGTACCATCGTTTCAGGACTTGCAACCTCTGTCAGGTGCTCATGCGTTGTGAAGAAGCCTTGTGCCTCCGACCGGGCGCATGAGCCGCGGCCCCATGACAATGTGACAACTGTCTCTCTCACATCCCCTGCGGCTCCGTCGCATGATTGCGTATGACTGAGGATCAGAGAGCAGCATGGATCTGAAAAGTGATGGTGAGGCTTCGCACCGTGCACCAAAGCGTGCAGATGTTGTTATTACTCGTGCCATGAATCCGATGGCATTGTTTATGCCAGCACCGCGGCCTCCTGCCTCCGAGCCTCGGGCACGTCACACATTCTATCATGGAGCTTTTCCATGATGGTTATGGGTTGCTGGATTTGGGACGGAGCCTTTACCATGCCAGTGTCTAGTCTAAGTGCTTGTCGGCGCCCTGGAGGCTTTTGAGATGCAACCTGCGGCCCAAAGCAAGTGTAGATGTCCTGTTTCTTTGCTAGTCAGTTGCAGGAAACGGTGCGCCACTCGCATGGGGGTGGATGATCGGGATTTGCCTCCCACGATGTCACAAGCGGGGTCAGGCTTCAAACCTGGTCCAATACCTTACCGCAAGAAGCTGGCGGCCTCGAGGGAATGCCTTGTGTTGCGCTGCACAGCGCGTTCGCGGACCCAAAGGCTACTACAAAGCCGAGCGAAACCATGCCCATCGCCGTGCCGGTCTTACTGGCTTTCACGGGTTGCTACTGCCCGAAGTCGAATGTGCAAGTGCACAGGCATCTGCTGCAGCATGCAGCCTCCGAAGGCCTTGTGTCCCTGCAGTGGCTGGGCCCGCTGGGCTGACAGCAATTGAGCCTGTTTTGGAGGCTTCAAAGATTTCTCCAGCTCTGAAGCGGTTCGGCGGCGGAATGCTGAGAGGGCCATAACCAACGTCTGATGTGGGAATCCTACGTGTTATCGTTGCGCTGGAGGCTTCATCATGCTGCCTTTTGTGGATCTGTAGTGGGATCCCGAGTTCAACAGTCGAAAAAAAGAAGCGGTTCTTCGAAGAAGTCGAGCCAAGGCCTCGGTACAAGCTCTGCTGGAAACATTGTCGTCTGAAGACTGGCCGCTGTGCGCAACAGAAATGCAGCCCGATTCTCGCAGCATGTGCAGACAGAGGTGCCGCGCTTGTGACGCTGCAGGCCTGCAAACTGTTGCAAGGGCTGCGCTTTTGCAGTGGGGCTTCGGCCCGGACTGCCAGCTGCGAGGCACCAGCGTCCTCCATGCCGCTGTCACCGGTGGTGCCTGACTGTGAGAGAAGCGGATTCAGGACATGGCGTGCGGCGTGCATAAAACAAATGCAATGCGAGGTCACCTGCATATCGCCAATGCGTTGGGGGCCTAGTGGAACCTGCAATGCGAAGGTGAGGTCGACTTTATGGCAAAACAAGTCTGGACACGAGCATGGGATCCACATGTACTGGTAGCCGAGTGGCAGCATGTGGCAACCTCGACTATGCAGGATTGTGCCCGCTGCTGAATGAGGCCTACAGAGGGAATGCAAGACATGCAGACGACTCGGGCATCATAGATCGTGAGAGAGCTTGAGATTACGTGGAAACGACGTGCGAAGTAGCCTGCGCTTATGCCATGGAGAAGCGCCCCGCCAGCTCTTGGGGGTTCAGACGCTGCGCCAGGGCCTGTGAGGGGGATTTCTTCACTGTTCGCCGGCCAAGGGCCAGACAGACCCCGTTACGTGCAACACTGGACATCACCACTAGGCCACTAGGCTTAACGCCTGCTTAACGCTGTGGACCGAGGCATTGTTGGTGGCTGCCGGTGGTGGTGGTTGGACCTCCAGGCAAAATTGACCTCACATCTTTCAATCGTTCGAACACAGGTGTGAGTCGTGCGTGCACAGCTTCAGCGACAGGGCCCTCCTGTCAGACCCTTCCAGCACTCTGGGGCAGCGACTGCGCGGACGATGGGCCGGAAGCGACCGCTCCAGCAACCTTCAAAGAGCGTGTCTTGGACGGCAGGAAGCCTTTTTCTTACCCCCCAAACTAGAGATTGTCGTCGGCCAAGCCGTGTCGCCTTTACGAAAGTTGACTTTGTTTCCATCTGGGACCTCGAAATGCATGGCTTACAAGGAGAGTTTATCCTGATAGGCACTACAGATTCGTCTAATTGATCGCACTTGATTACGTTATGCAGCATGCGAGGCACAGAGACGGGGTCTTCCAGGTGCGAGACCGCTTTGATGCTGGTGCTGAACTTGGGGAAGAAGAGATGTCCTGGACTAGGCGAGGAAAGTGCGCGCCTAAGGCAACAGTCACTGGCTCTTGTGCAGTTCTGAGACGTTGTCAGGGAGTACGGCGAAGGCGGCTCCTTCCCATTTTGGAGCCTGGGCCAGCCGAAAGTAGAGATCCGCAGACTGGCGGCTGCACTTGAGGACAAGAGAGCGCGAGGGAGCACATCATGTGAAAGCAAGAATTGGGAGAATCTCTCGAGGAGGCTTCAGGGAATGGCTTGGCGGCAGTTGTCCTCGGCTGCGGTCTTGGCTTGGATGCCACAAGCTCAGGCATCTTGGGCCTTGGCCTCCTTGGCCTTAGGGCCTATAGGCCGTTCTTTCGCTGGTCTGAGGTTGCTTACTTGGCAAAAGCCGGCAAGGCAAGCGCTCTGACCGCGGTGGCAGGGGTGGACTTCGCCTGGCCGGCCATCCAGGCTTGAGACCTCCACTCCGGTCACAAAGAAAAAGCATTTTCGGTGTCAGGAAGCCAGGAGACAGCACGGCGACTCCGGGCAGGCCGGCCGGGCCGCTTGCTTCTTCCATCACTTCGATGTCTGCGAGCTCCCAGCCCCGACGGTGCCATTGGACTCTCGGACTTGTGAGCACAGAAGAGCTTTACTTCTACATGTTCGCACTTTGTAGTGCTGCAAAAGAGAGGACCTCATCATTGACAACACAGTCTTTCAAAATGTGCACAGGAGCCAGTGCGGCTTGTGCTAGGCGTCCTTCTGGATTCAACTGGAGAGGAGTGGCCGATTCGACGCATATTTGGAGAGTTTATGCAGAATTTCAACGCCAGGTCTGCCCCTGAGCTGTGTGACAGCGTGCGTCGGTCTGTCCGCCATCCCTTCTCTACAGCGGGAGCGCTGTATAAGAAAATGCTTTCTGGGACGAGGGTGGTCTGGTTTTCTTATTTTGATAGCGGCCGGCTTTGTAGGAAAATTTAATCTAGGATGGGTCAGGGTAGTCTGGTTTTCTTAAGGCAGTTTTCTTATATAGCTATGTCCAGGGCCCAAGAACAAACGNNCTCAAACCCAGCAGGCCCAAGATCCCCTAATGAAGGCATGAATCTTCAAACATAGTATTGAATGCGGCTCCGTTCTCCCAGTCTACAGTAGCTCAAACAGCTTTCCTCCAATCGAGGCAGGTTCGAGACTTTGGAGGTGTAGGACGGGCACCTGAGCTGTCGGAACTTTTATTGCTTCGTTCCACAGCGCAAGTCAATACGAAAACGAGACTCTGGCATTTTCTTATTTTCTTTGGTTCTAGAGCGCACCTGAATAAGAAAACGAGACTCTGGCATTTTCTTATTTCTCTTTCGTTCCAGAACGCACCTAAGTAGGAACGAGAACGAAATAAGAAAACGAGACTCTGGTATTTTCTTATTTTGTGTTGTTTTGAAACCGAACCAAAGAATACGAGGAGCCGGGCGATCCCTGAAAGCCCTTGCACAGCACAGGCCATGCTTACGCACACTTGTATTAAACAGAGCGAAATAAGAAAATGAGACTCTTGGACGAGGGTACCCTGGTTTTCTTAATTGAAGAGCGCTTGGTATTTTAAGGAGAACCACCCTCAATCCCCAAATCCAGAGTCTCATTTTCTTAATCCAATGTTTTCTTAAGTAGTGCTGTCGCTGTACCAGCGACCTCTGAGGGAACCGTGAGTTAATGTATTTTCCGGGCACTCGATCACTTCAGCAAAACTTGGATTCTGTGCCGTTTCGCAATTCCAAAGCGCATGTTCAAGCTTAAGCTTCTCGCCGCTGCCACGAAACGATTGCACCACACCTTCTCGAACAACAGGTACGAGGGCGTCTTCCAGACTTACAATGAGGAGGATGAGGCGGTCATGTGTGTGCTTGTTCGGTCTGTCACTCGCTCTCTCGATGCATATATTCAGAAAAAACCTGTTACATGGTGTTTAAAGTTTAAACGTGTATATACAAATAAATATGTGTATGTATGTATGTATGTATGTATGTATGTATGCATGTATGCATGTATTTCTGTATGCAGGTATGTATGTATGTATGTATGTATGTATGCATGCATGCATGCATGCACGTATGCATGTCTGCATGCATGCATGCATATATATATATGTGTGTATGTATGTATGTGTGTATGTATGTATGTATGTATGTATGTATGTATGTATGTATGCATATTTATGTTACACAGGCATATGTCCTTGTTTTATACTTGCATTCAGTTCTGTGAGCATTGGCAGCTATGTTTTGCTTGGGTGAAAGCTTCCAGTTTCTGATGAGCTGTCATCGTCTTATACGCTATTTGTTAGCAGTGCATTAGCCTAATGAATCATGCAAACACCACCGCTGATCCCGGAACCTTTGACTACTGTAGCACTTTGCCTTTGCAACCAGCCTTCACCTCGATCCTTGCCCGTGCCGACTTCGTCGTCCGGTGCATACTGTCTGATCCTAGATTGGACTCGATTCTTGCAGCAGAGAGCTTAGCTAATAACCTGCTCCAGGCCACATGCAGCGTCACATAGTGGCCTACGATCAGTCCCCAATTCTATTGAGATGCTGTTGGTCCAGTCACGAGTTCTGCATATCAATGAACATGCTACTTCATTTACTGCAGCGCTTTGCCCTCTTGCGTGAAAAGGTATGTGCTGAAGCAGGTTTCGGTCGGCGCACTTCGAATCTGAGGTATGTAGGTCCATCGCGGTGCATTTCTGCAGACGGATTGTGTTGAGTCTCGCCACGACCTTTAGGCCGGCCTCCTGCGGCGCTTCTTCGCACTGATGCGGGAGACCTGCCCCCATGTGATGGCCTGTGGGCCCAGACGCAACACGAGAGTTAAAGCATGTTTAACCTTCGTCGTCGCTCTTGTGCAGATAGTCGAGTAAACCATGCTGATGGGTGCTGGTGCGGTCTACCAAATTACTAGCTGTACCAAGTTTCGTTGTTGGTAACTGTAACCCCGCTTCCGCGCTGCCGACTGCACTCTACGTCCTGTCATCATTGTCGTTGGGTGATAGCGGTGGTGGTGTGCGGGTGGTGGCGGGGGTGATGGCCGTGGTGATGGTGGCAGTGGGGGTGGTTGTGCTGGTGGTGGCGGCGTCGTAGTAGTACTAGTAGTAGTAGCAGAAGAAGAAGTAGCAGTTGTCGTCGTCTTAGCCGTAGCAGTAGCAGTAGCAGTAGCAGTAGCAGTAGTAGTAGTAGTAGTAGTAGTAGCAGCAGCAGTAGGAGTAGTAGCAGTGGTAGGTGGTAGGTCGTAGGTCGTAGGGCGTAGGTAGTAGGTCGTAGGAGGTAGGTAGTAGGTGGTGGTAGCAGTAGTAGCAGTAGTAGCAGTAGTAGTAGTAGTAGTAGTAGTAGTAGTAGTAGTGGTAGTAAAGTAGTAGCAGCAGTAGTAGTAGTAGTAGTAGTTGTTGTTGTTGTTGTCAATACATGATTTGTATTGCTGGTGTCGCAGCAAAGACGGCCTGGTCATGTTGCGCGACGGCAAAAATCCGGTTCGTTCCCCGTGTTGTCCGCCATCAAACCAGGTGTCCTTCAACGGCGATTTCTTCGACTATCCGTTCGTGACGAATCGGGCGAAGGCTGTTTGGATGAACAGCACAAGAAGCGCAGGGTTATCATCTTCATGTACCTACGTTCGTCCTTGTACGTTTGCTCCTGCCGCTGCTGCTGCTGCTACCTCTACTCCTACTGCTGCTACTACTACTACTACTACTACTGCCACCACTACCACTACCACTACCACTACCACTACCACTACCACTACCACTACCACTACTACTACTACTACTACTACTACTACTACTACTTCTACTACTACTACTACTACTACTACTTCTA